TTGCCGTAAACAGTTTATTTTGCGACACCACGAAACAAACGATAGCGTAAAATGAAACGATGTTTTTATATCGTCATCCGATATATATCGTTATATCGAACAGCCCTAACACCACGTATCATTATATGTGAGGATCAAATCACACATCAGACACATACAATGTTCCAATCAATTCTTTAAAATGTATTTACCACTAAACATTTAAACAACTGTTGCAAATTCATTGTTTAGACACAATAAATATTTTCCACTTTTATAAGGCAAAAAGGTCCATATCTGGAGGCTGCAGAGATTTGTGGTGGAGCAAATCATTTGGCCCACATGTCAGAGACGCACGTTTAAGTCAAATACAGCACAGATTTGATTTGATGAAATAAATATGTCTCCTAGTTCAGTTTAAACATGAAAACCACTGGGTTAACTGTCTGCGGCTGCGTGTCACTTGCTTGTTTTCATAATTAGATAAAAATGACGTTCTGTTGCTGTTACTCCAGCTTTTCAACAACGCTGTAAGATTTACTGCACATGTAACTAAAAGTCCAACGCAGGTACATAATGAGATATGAAATGAAAAGCCTTTATAGTTATTATATTCAGGATACAAAGAGACTGGCAGTGGCATGCCTGCCTGGAGCATTAGAGTTAGAACGACAAACTTCACATGATGATATAAAAGAATTTACGATGAGTTTCTTGCTCTTCATCCTTTCGCTCTCTTTTCCTTTTCTGCTTTTCCATTTCTTTCTTTGCCTGTCCCTCCTTCCTGTCTCTCCATCTTCTGTTATTCAACACAACACGGACAGGGCAAAATACTGCAACTACAACTCCATTTCCCCCTCCGTCCTTTATATCTCTCCATCACCTTCCTTGCAAACCTTCATTTTCTTCTCTCTATCTCTCTGTCTTTACTTCACTCACTCCTTTTTCCTTCGTTCTCGCTCTCTGACGCCCACCACGGGAGTCCTGAGAGCCTCCAATCAATCAGCGTCTGAGAGGCTTTTATTTTTAGAGCGACTTCAGCCAAGTGGGAGAGAAATGCAGAGATGGAGGGAGGAAAAGTGCACGTAGAATTAGAAATATTAAACTTAAACAGCAGTGAAAGAGAAGGCGAAGATGGAGATAAAAGGACGGAGAGGTTGGAGTCGAGGGAAATGTGGTGGATGTCACAGAGGAGGAGGCGAAAGGACCATAAAAAATGTTGTGGAACGGCGTGCTGCTGCTTTCACCGTCAGCCTCCCAGAACTTAAGAGTTGCCAGAGTACGGTCGCCTTGGCAACCAGTTGCTCAGCACATCTCTGTTTTTGGCTGGTCGGCGCGGCAACAGTTGGTGGGGGCAAACCTTCTATTAGCATCTGGAAATATCTCCACACTGCAAAAAGTGATGCAGACACTTTACTGAGATTCTGAATCCAGTGTGTTCTCTCAGTTAATCATCAATAAATAATATTATACGATATGTATGATTTTTAATGGTCTCCTGTTAAAATTGAAGTGACACTGAAAAGTGTCACTTCACGCCATCACCTTCCCCAAAAAAATGGGTTGGCACCGCTTCTTCGTGATGTCAGTGAAGGTGCTGCTTCTCATCAAAGTCACTGTGGAGATAACCCAACAGCACTCAGCACGAAGCTCTCCATTTACCGCTCAATCTATGTTGCTTCCTCACCTACAGTCACGAGCTCTGGGTGGTGACCAAAAGAGAGAGGTTACAGATACCAGGGCCAAAAAAGGACTCTCCTTCTACCTGTGGCTGGGCACTCCCTTAGACACAGGGTGAGGAGCTCAGCCATTTGAGTAGCCCCTGCTTCTCCACATCTAACGGATCCAGTTGAGGTGGTCTGGGCACCCGACTAGGATCAAAGACGGAGTGACCAAAAGATAATTTAAGATGACTGTGTTACGCAGCTGGCTGTCAGTGGTGGGATTTACTTCTGACCGGGCGTTGTTTATGACAGAGCAGCTCAGTTATGGAGACTCAGCACTGCGCTTCAAAAACCACACAAAATAAGGTTCAGCAGCCACCCGTAAATGTCATCGCTGACTTTTTAACATCCTTTTACAGCGTGAACCCTTCTCACTGACAGCCCATAATAACAACAGGTGGTAACCCGCGGTGACAAGCTGATTTCAGGTCTAAATGTGACAGACAGCAGGTGCCCACTCAGACCAAAGTATCCCGTTTCCCTTCTTTCTTCTCTGTTCCCTCCATCTCACATCCTCTCTCGGCGAGGACGGAAGTCCCTAAATGGACCTGTTGATCCTTCATTGAGAAAAACGCAGCAGCAGTACTGCTCTCTGCTAATTTTCTGCTAAAGCAGGAGGTTTGCTTCAAGACCCTTTTTGTTCAGTTATTCTCTTGAGTGGAGGAAATGTGCACAACGTCGCCTTGGTGACGTGGGAACAGAGAAACTCGCTTGACATCCCCAGAAACAGAAAGAACAGGAGCTGTGATTTTTTTTCTCTCTTTTCTATTGATAAGCATCTGAAAAGCAGAGAAGAGATTTTATTTAAAGCTGCAGTCTGTGCAGCTAATGGCTGCTTAAAGTAGGCGGTCCGTTTAGTACATTAGCATTGAGTGTAGCCTCATGTAGCCTCATGTAGCCTCATGTAGCCTCATGTAGCCTGCAGGTGTTGCGAATTGTGATTTTACTAAACTGAAAACATGAAGTCAGTGCAAACGGCTCAACCTGAAATCCCAAATCAAAAATGCAGCCTTCTACAGCTGAAGAGACCAAACACCCCCGACACCCCCTTCCCTGATTTTGCACATGCACTAACATCTGCCGCAGATTCCCACCACCCATTCCTTTTGGATCATAAAGCGAGGACAATCACTGGATGTCTTCTCTTCACGTCAGGTTCATGTAAAGCACAGGTGTCGAACTCCAGGCCCCGAGAGCCGGTGTCCTGCAGGTTTTGATCCAAGACAGCTGATTTAAACGGCTAAATGACCTCCTCAACATGTCTTGAAGTTCTCCAGAGGCCTGGTAATGAACTAATCATTTGATTCAGGTGTGTTGACCCAGGATGAGATCTAAAACCTGCAGGACACTGGCCCTCAAGGCCTGGAGTTCGGCACCCCTGATGTAAACGAACATGTTTCAGTCCTGAGTGTTCAGCTAAGTTATTCTTGCCTCTCCCAGAGAGTCATCTCGGACTTTTAAGTCTCGACATCTTAAAGTCTTTCACATGCAAACATACATACATCGGGTCAGTGGGTATCAGCCTTCTGTCCTCAAAAAACTGAATAAAATTTGTACTTCGATCACAAGTTTGCATGAACATGAACTGAGTAATTGTCTCTTATGGAGTGGGAAAGTTGTACATCTCCCTACACTAAAGAAATCAGTGGTTCTGTCTCGCTACAGTTGGTAAGGTTAAAGTGACAACAGTTAACTCATTTCTGTGATTTTGTTTGGTTTCAAGGCAACGTTCAAAGGCTGGATGGATATCATGTACGCAGCGGTGGACTCGAGAGCTGTGAGTAACGACAACATTTTGAATGTGCACGTGATTCTGAATCTTTTCATGTTCTGAATAGAGTAAGATTCAAAGTGAGTTCAGCATCACTTTTAGCACCTCCTCTGGACATTAGAGGAACTGCAGGTTTCGCCACTTCAGCGTCAGCTTTAGTTTTCTTCTGTGGATGTTGGCGCTCGATTAGGACTGGAAACAAAAAAGGGTCAAATTAAAGTTCAATGAAAAAGAAATCTAAACAGATTGATATGATGTCGTGTTAATAACTGATAATGTCTTTAAAATGTCAGATGCGAACAGGATTAAGGGTGGAACAAACATTGAATACAGTCAAACTGAAAGTCAGAAACAGATCCGTGTGTTCCCTGAACAGGTGGAGGAGCAGCCTATCAAGGAGATCAATCTATACATGTACCTGTACTTTGTCATCTTCATCATCTTCGGCTCCTTCTTCACCCTCAACCTGTTCATCGGTGTCATCATCGACAACTTCAACCAGCAGAAGCGAAAGATAAGTACCACGGCTGACACCAGCGTCACACATGGCACAGGAAACGCACGTTTACTTTCTACAGCTTCATATTTTAAATCAAAGCAAAAGCGTCTGAATATATATTAACAGGTTTGCAGGTTCTTTGTAAGAACATTAGATGGCAACCTTAAGTCTTATAAAATAACATAGATGTTGCTTGGTTTGTTTACTTAGGAGGACAGGACATCTTCATGACCGAGGAGCAGAAGAAGTATTACAACGCCATGAAGAAACTCGGCTCCAAAAAACCTCAGAAGCCCATTCCCAGACCGATGGTACCGACACACAGCACGTCCACCTTAAAAACAGATTCAGTTCTACATGATACGTCCAGAAATGGTTTCATTGGTATTGTTTCTATTCAAACAGATTTTGAACACTCAGTTTTAATTAACAGTTTATTAAGTATGTTAAAGTTAACTTTGTAAGGACAGAAGCGTTTTTTATTATCAAGTCGAAGCCGAATGGAGGAAACTACCTTTAAATATGTATGTAATCATTCCAATGATGATCTAAAATTAATTTTGACCACTTGTGCTTTTTTTTCAATTAATATTTGGCTGCAAACACAATAGTTAGGTTAGTTATTAGATTTCACTTTTCCTCTGTACACCACCACAGTGGATTCTTTCAGCTTTAATTTGAGGGGTTTAACAAAAGTGTTGCTTTAACTGTTTAGGAATTACAGACATTTTCACACACAGTCTGAATTAACTGGATAATTGACTGGCCAGCAGTCCTGTGGCCAGTGAAGTATCAAAGCGTTAAGTTTGTATTTTATAGCTTTTCACTTTAAATTTAAATATCAGGCCGTGAAAGATGTCGATGGAAGTGAGCGACGCCATCGTTAGTCACCATGCCATGACAGATGTAGCTGTAGTAAGACACTTATGTCATCTTCAGTTTATCGACTGGCCTTCAGAGGAATGTTTGACTTACCAGCATATCAGAAAACAGAGCAGCCTCTCACTGAAGAATCTGTTTACTTAAAAAGATCTGGACCATTAATATGAGTGTACTTCACAGTGACGCACAACATGCCCTTTATACCTGATAAGAGATGTTATGATATACACCTATAGTATACCTCTGTATGTACCTCAAAATTCACCTGAAGATCAGCTTCTACTGCTCCAAGAATTTAGACGAGCCTTTCTAGGAAACTGATAGTTTATGAGCCTTTTTTTTCCGTTAACTGCTACGTTAGTGGGTGCATAATAAATGTAGCCACAACCACACTTTCCATTTCAAGTAATCAGTACCAAACTATGCAGTAATTATGTTTGTATTATACATCTAACCTCTTACATTTCTAGGAAAAGAAAGAGTTTTTGTGGAAATTGAACAACATAAAATCAAGTGTTTTTGTCAAGGTTTTCTTTTTAATCACTAATCATTAGCTAAACTGTGGCCGGGGCTCAACAGCTGTTGATGTTGAGTTTAAAATGCAATCTGAAAACTTCTATTTTGTAAACTTCTAATTAATTTAAACTAAGATTCAAGTTTTAAAACATTTTCTTCTGACATATTTATAAAATTCATATAGTGGAGTTTCTTGTAACTTGCCTGAGAAGCATAAAGATAAAAATATAAAACTATGCAGTGAGCTAATATATCTAATGTCTGCCTGACAGTTATCTGTCAGCAGGATGGCCATCCGGGCAGTCTTGATGTTTATCCTGCACAAAGGTCATCATTGCTCACATTACAGCAGAACTGCATGAATCCTGCTGCTGTGTCACGCTCCAGCTGTTTACTAACATCAAAGTAAAGAAGGCGACGGATGACAAATTCTCCACGTTCTCACGCCCCAACCATGCACACGTACAGAGATTCCTTCAGTCCTTTACTTTTGTAGAAATGTAAGTGTAGAAAGGTGTTAGACTCCTTATTGGTGCATGTAAACACAATAAGAACAATAAGTCAAGTTTAGGATTTGTTTCAAAAACATACATGATACACATAAGCACAAATATGGGCGTCCCCCTGAGTATATGTCTGAGCTGGTACACTTTTAAATCGCAGGCTGTTTTATTTACATCAGCTGAGCAGCAGCTGTCAGCAGTCCCAAGAACCACGCTCTGAGACACTTGAACTCTCCCCCTCCAGATCGGGTCATCGACCCTCTCCAACAGTCTTCAGATCTAAAAACGCACCTCATCTGAAGGTCTTTTTCAGTCCAGGTTCAGCTTACAGGAGCGTCTCAGCATCATTAATCAGCCTGCAGGTTCCATGTCCTCTCAAAGTCCATTATTCTTCTTAAAACTGAATAATTAAATGGTCGAAACCTGTTATAGCAGCAAGAAAAGCATCTAATAACAGAATAATACGATAACTTATTAAAGCAGAATAACTCTCAGAATACAATAGACAGAATAGAATCACCAAAGTAGAATTACTCAATTAGAAATGAGATTCTCGAGAATTCGTCAGAGTTAAATGTCTCTATAAGGGAGAGAACAAAGTAGCTGGTAAAGAATAAGAAAATCAAATGGAAATAAAATATTAACTTAACAAGTACAACAAACAAACGTGGCAGTATAAGATGAAAATAAGATGTGCTTTTTGCTGTTACATTTAGCATCATTTGCAGTAAATTACCTGCGACAAACCTTCGGACCTCATGTTCACCTCACTGGCACACACTCTCTCTGACTGAGTCACCATGCCAGGCTGGTTGTCATGTTGAGAGGATGGCGATTAATTGCAAACCTTCGCCGAGCTCTTTGAGAGGGATCCCAGTCAGGTTGCCTCTCTCTTCTGCAACCTCTCAGAACTCTAAACTTTTGGGCAACCAAAAAGTGAATACAATCACTCTCCAGCTACCAGTTTTTCCTGCTTTAGTGTGACTGAAGGCTAAGGTGTCCCTTGCATGAACGTCTGTCACAACCCTGTGCAGCATATTAAAGAAGCTCGGTGCATGAAAGTGTCAGATTAAAATTGAAGTCTCAAATTAGAGAACAGATTATTCTCGTCTGGACAGAAAGTTGTTGAATTAAGTGGCAAAAAATTCTGCATCTGCCTTTGTGGCAGCGAAGCCTGTAAATGTCTGCTGTACAGCACTTTGATTGGCGTCTTTAATGACTGGCTTATAAACAACCTGACGTGGCTTAGCAAAGACAGAAACACTAAATGGGGGTTTATCAGCTAACCGAACCTTCTTGCTTCTTAGAACGCTCTGCAGGGCTTCTTCTTCGACCTGGTTGGGAAGCAAGCGTTCGACATCATCATCATGGTGCTGATCCTCTTCAACATGATCACCATGATGGTGGAGACGGACGAGCAGCCGCCTCAGATGGAGAAGATCCTGAACAACATCAACCTGGCCTTCATCATCATCTTCACTGCCGAGTGCCTGATCAAGATCATGGCGCTGCGATGCTACTTCTTCACCGTTGGCTGGAACATCTTCGACTTCGTGGTGGTCATTCTCTCCATCGTGGGTGAGTTCGGCTTCAAAAAGATTTTGAGCCAGATTTACTAAACGGGGTAAAGAGCAGATGGTCCCCAAATCCATAAACAGTGCTCACAGGTGCGGTTAGTTTCACACAAAATCTGCAGTGTTAAGCACAGGCACACTCAGTTCATTTTAATAACAGAAAGAAAAAAAGAGCAGTGTCTTGTAAGTGCAGAGTATTTCAAACACAGACACAGACATAAATCAAAGTATAAACCAAAGCTTCCTAGAAAGTTGTACATTGTGTTGATCTATTGAAAAATAATAATTGCAGTTCCAATAATGGCCTCTTGAAGCAGGCTTTATTTTATGAAAATGCTCAGATTCACAGCATTAAAAAGTAAGTTAACAGCATGGTAAAAAAACAACAACATAGCTTTGGTCTCTATGGACAGTTTCCACCAACTTTACAGCAGGTGATTTTTTTATTACGTGTTTAGATATCGGTAAGGTTTAAAGATAAGGATCTCCAACTGGAGCAAGATAAAGACAACTTTATTTTAAATGCGGTGCAGCAGAAGGACTGATGTGCAAAGTTTCCTCTAAAATAAAGTGACTAAAATCTGTCACATTTTTGACGAATCAACTTCTAAGAGTTTTTTTCTAAGAAATTTTGAATTAAGGAGACATTTCACTTACCTCTGACATTACTCAACAAAGAGCTGCTCATTCATCGTAGCTAACTTTAAGGAAATAGTTTCTAGGAAACTAAAATGTTTTCTTAAGGTTTTTTTTAAAACTGCTGGTGATTAAACTACAATACTGAAACTGTGAGGCAGTATTTCAAAGTTCTTCTTTTGTTCTAAACTTAGTTTAAAATCATTTTGACCAAAATACAAGCTGAAAGGAAAGATTAAACAAATCATCTTGCTTTCCTTCATTATCAGACATGACATGTGTCAAACTTATATACTGCTGTTTCACATAACTTACAGCTGACATAAGGCTTTGTGTGTGTGTGGAGCTCATGATACCCCGCATGTGTACACATGTGTGTCAGCCATCAGCTGTGGCAGCAGAAAACAATGGGACGTCTGCCTGACAGTTATCTGTCACCAAAGTGACCATGTGGTTGGCCTTTATGTTTAACCTGCACCAAGGTCTTGTGCGGTCATGTTACAATTACACACACACACACACACACACACACATACACACAATAACACACATGACAGGCAGTCTGCAGGGACAGCACAGAGTATCCCAAGCAGTTAATTCAGCTATCAGTGTTCATACGTCGCGTGCGCTGCTGCTCCTGTTCGCCTGACAAGATTGGGTGTATGTGTGTAATTAAGTGTGTGTCTGTGTGTGTGTTAGTGTGCACGCTGAGGCGAGGCTGCATGGGGGAGGTGAAGGTAACAGCAGCAATCGGAGCTGCCACAGGGCGGTCCCTGGAGACAAATCAAACATGATTGACCTGTTACATCAGCTGTTCTGCGTCTGTGTGTGTGAGAGAGAGATGTTAGGATGGAGGGCATAAGCTGAGTTGATGTACGATGTGATGGTGATTCCCTCTCGCCTCCCTCCACTCCTTCCTTCCATCACCTATAACTTACACAGGGAGGTGAATGAAAGAAAACAGTATTTGTGTGTGTGTGTGTGTGTGTGTGTGTGTGTGTGTGTGTGTGTGTGTGTGTGTGTGTGTGTGTGTGTGTGTTTCCCTCTCCGATAACAAGGAAAAGACGGATGAATTACAGCGTTTGACTTGCTGTTAGTGGGAAAAGACGCCTCAGCTCTCCAGATCCAATTAGTCAAGTTGTAATCACAGCAGACCTGCCACATAAACACTGAGAGAGCCAAACTGAGAGCTTTTAGATGATGTAACTCACAGGAATGCCAACACATTAAAGAAAATTCAATAGTCTGGAGGTAATCAATTCTTAGTTTGGTACATCAGAAAACAGTTCCTTTTCAAGTATCACTGCTTTTTATTAATTGTTATATTTAAGCCAAAATTATCTAAATGAGGCACTGCAGGTAGAACCAGTGACTAATAGCTAAGACCATGTGATAGATGGAATGACCACTTTTAAAATTATAGTGTATAAACGATGGGCATGCCCATCTAATGTCAAAGACTGGATGATGATCACTCCACTTTATGGACATCTCTTTAGAGCCAGAAGTGACCATATTAGGCCCCAGTCATGTATGGTAAAGGACTGGCCAATGACTCCATGGTACCACTGGTCACTAAGGAAAAATATGTGTTCCCCAACAAGCTGGCCAGTAGTTGCAGGAAATGTCTCACCAAGTGACATTGGTCACAAACATATATATGATATTTATTCAGCATTAGTTGCTGGTTGGTTGGTAAGTAATAGGACTGGGCGATATGACCCAAAATTCATATCTCGATATTTTTTAGCTTGATGGCGATATACGATATATATCTCAATTTTTTTTTTAAGCTATAAGGTAAGAACAAAAAGAGAGTTCTTAGTCAAAGCTGTGTCCCAGATGTCACACAGGCACTTTTATTAACATACAGCGTAGATGTACATGAAGAAATTACTCAAAAATAAATTATCAGCCTCCGTGAGGCTCCAGACTACAGTAGCCGTAATGCTCCAACAATCCATCAAGCGTAGCTTACCAAAGTCATACTAAAACATTTTTTGACAGATTGCTGAGCGCCGTGTACCACATAAAATCGGTTCGCGGTCAGTAAGCACAACCAGAATTCATACATAAGGCGCGCTGTCGATTTTTGAGAAAATGAAAGGATTTCAGGCCATGCAGCCCCTGTGGGCTAGCTCGTTAGCACGGTTAGCTCGTTAGCACGGTTAGCTCATTAGCACGGTTAGCTCGCTAACACGTTGACGCCATCCAGCCCCACGCACAAGGCGATCCACGGTAACTCGTTAACGGAGATTTGCCGTGTCCATCTTGTCATTGCCTGCAGGTGAAGCTATGGGGGAGTTGTGTTCAGTGAAGGACAGGCGAGGCCGAGTAACGTTGCATAGAGACAAAAGTGGACGAAAGAGAGGCAAACTTGCGGCTCCACAAGTATAATTATAACGTAACATAGACTATATCGATATAAACAATATTGTCACATCTTATATCTCGTATAAAAATATATCGATTTTTTTTTTACTCAATATATCGCCCAGTCCTAGTAAGTAACTGCTGACAAGTTGGAGCCTGGAGCAACCAAAGCAATAAGAAACAGGTTTTTGGTGCTACAACCTTCTTGTGGTAGATAACACGCTGCAGTATCCAGCAACCACTCACCAACTCGTTGGGGAACAGTCTATAGGCCTGTGTGACTGAGGCTTCAGGATGACGTACTACGCTGTCAGCTAACACTGGCAAGCTTAGTTAGCACCCTGTGTCCAGAAACTGTATTGGTGCATCCCACAGATACCAGAAGGGTGCGTGTTCAACATAGTCAGACTTTCTTTACATTAGCTGGCTTGACTGAAGTCAGACATAAGCGGTGTCATGATTGTTGTAATCAAATTGAACCCAAGATTTCTACTTCAGGATCTGAGCACATTCACATAAAAAGGGGGGATCAAACATGTTGTTTCACTCTTACTCCCAACAAAAACTGGTAACCTTTTCCAACCAGAGACATTATCAGAGAAACAAGTGATAGAAGTGGATAATGAATAAAAACAAAACACAATTCTTTGTTTCACAGACCTAAAACAAGAAACAAATCAAATTAGAAGCTCACCCAGGAGTTGCAAATGTTTCTATAAATGCATATAAGTGGTGTGACTTACATCTTTGTTGCTTTTTGTTTTCAGGGATCGTGCTTGCTGATATCATTGAAAAGTACTTTGTGTCACCCACACTGTTCAGAGTGATCCGACTGGCTCGTATTGGACGAATTCTGCGCCTCATCAGAGGCGCTAAAGGAATCCGGACGTTACTGTTTGCCCTCATGATGTCCCTTCCTGCTCTCTTTAACATTGGACTTCTCCTGTTCCTTGTCATGTTCATCTACGCCATCTTTGGTATGGCCAACTTTGCCTACGTGAAACGGCAGGGGGGGATCGATGACATGTTTAACTTTGAGACGTTTGGGAACAGCATGATCTGCTTGTTTCAGATCACCACCTCTGCAGGATGGGACAGCCTTCTCAATCCCATTCTCAACAACTCCCCTGAGGAGTGCGATGCCAACATCCCCCACACTGGCACCACCGTCAGGGGGAACTGTGGGAACCCATCAGTTGGCATCACCTTCTTTGTCACCTACATTATCATCTCCTTTCTGATTGTGGTAAACATGTATATCGCCATCATCCTGGAGAACTTCAGTGTTGCCACTGAGGAAAGCACTGAACCCCTCAGCGAAGACGACTTCGAGATGTTCTACGAGGTCTGGGAGAAGTTCGACCCGGAGGCCACGCAGTTTATCGAGTACTCCAAGCTGTCCGACTTTGCTGACTCGCTGCTAGAGCCGCTGCGCATCGCCAAGCCTAACAAGATCAAACTGATCTCCATGGACCTGCCCATGGTCAGTGGAGACAAAATCCACTGCCTGGACATCCTGTTTGCCTTTACCAAGCGTGTCCTGGGCGAGTCAGGAGAGATGGATGCCCTCAAGCAGCAGATGGAGGAGAAGTTCATGATGGCGAACCCGTCCAAGATCTCTTATGAACCCATAACTACAACTTTGAGGCGCAAGCAGGAAGAAGTCTCCGCCACCATCATCCAGAGGTGTTACCGCAGACACCTTGTGAGGCGGCAGCTGAAGGCCGCCTCCTACATGTACCGCCAGATCACCACACCTCGGCATGCGGGAGGTGAAGGTGAACAAGGAGGTGAAGTAGTGTTTGGGGAGGATGCGCCTGAGAAAGAAGGGCTGATTGCTACCATGATGAGAGAAAACTACGGCTCAAGCATGTTAGGGATCGAGCGCTCAGAGACGATTTCCTCCACCTCATCTCCACCTTCATATGACAGCGTAACACGGGCCACATCCGAGATCTTTCAACCGCTCGCTGTCAAGACAGAAACTGTTGCCGACACTGCGGGCAGCGAACAAAGTGAACAATCACAGTCAGAAATCACCCATGACAGACAGCAGGAAACGACGCCATAGCAGGAACAGAAAAGCAAAAAAATAAGTAACAAATGAGGATTTTCTCATTTGAGGTTGGCCTGTTTATTCTTTTGTTTACTGAATGTACCATAGCTGAGAACGCTGAAGCGGCAGCAGAAAGAAGCTATGAAGAACTACGAGGAGCCTGCAACATGGAAGAATTACTACCTTTAATGTCATTTCCTGTTCCCTGGAGAAAGTGTTTTGGGAGTTTCCTGAAAGGAAGCAAAGCAACTGCAAAACAGAGAGGGTAACCCTGTCTGTCAGGTCAACTCTGCCTTTGTTGGAGTAATAGACAGTAAAGGAAAACCTACTCTTGGGTCAACCAGAACTGGGAGTTTAGAACAATGACCTTTCACCAAAGCTACAGGTGGTCAGAGGGGGCAGAGCAACTATATCACAAATGTATCCATCATTTTTTGGCCTGGGGAGTTTGTGCCTTCCCACAGTTGATCAATATTCTCAGAGTATGTTTTGTTGTAAGAGTGACGGCGGTGTTTCTCAACACGTTAAGGGTCGATGGCGTTCTGACTGACACTCGAGAGAGGAGGGAAAATAATGACAACGTGATTTCAAAACAATGTTTTCGTAGTAAAAGTACGTTGTTGATGTTACCAGTCTTTTAATAGCGGTACAATTATTACTATTTTTTATATTTTTTAGAGTAAGTTGAAGAAAACCAGTTAGCGGTCTCTCTTTTGACTTCGGAGTGGCACTAGCTATGAAAAAGTGGCTGAACTACTATGTTGTAATAGATGAGAGGAGAAGGTGCGGTCAGGAAAAAAAAAATCTCAACAACCTGAATCTTCATCTGTTTTTGTTGGCAGTTTTGCACTTTTTGAGTTTGCACCTGCTCTTGCTTTACCGCACCTGGGCGAAGGCACAGTGTAGAAGAGCCTGGGATTTCATTATTTTTCTTCTCAAAACTTTTTGCGATAACACCAAAAAAATGACACAAGTGCACAATGAGATTTTCTACACGGTCCCAAACTCTTCTAACACGCATCTTTGCCCAGTGGTGGACGCCCTCATACTCGGCAGTTTGTTGGCTTGTGGGTGATTTGTCTAAAAGTCATGTTAGATATTCCGGCTTCACTTCCCTATAACATGAAGCAGAAGAGTCCTATTTCACTGTCACCACACTGAGTGGGGAGAAAAATGAAGCTTACTGGCTTTCATTGATTAAGGATGCATGATTTAGGAATAAGTTTTATGGAATGCTTTGAAAAACACCTGCCTGGGTGGAAGGAAAATAAGAGGCTTGTCAACTGTAGTGTTATTCTCCTATGCCAAAAATAGTCAAGACTGCAGGTGAATTTACTCTTTTTTTATTATTCAGTTTAGTAAAAGCATCAGACTGCTGGTTTAACACCAGCCTAGCACAAATTCAAAATAGGTTTAAGCATGCAGCAAACCACCAGTCTTTGCTTTTTAACAACTGAACAAAGACATGTAATAATAATAATGATGATGGTAATAATAATAATAGTCGTAGATTTTATATAGCTTTTTCCTAACAATGTTACAAAGCGCTTCATAGAAAGAATCAAAAAGCAAAATAAAAACATCTGAACAAAGAGGTTAAAAAAACCTACAAAAATGACCACAGGTCAGAAGTAAAAGATCAATTCAAAAGGAAGCAAGACAGCAATAACAAGCGCAGAACACTGAGATTCATGCAGGACACCTGTTAGCCTATTTTAATGCCATAAATGCCTCCTTTCATTTTTTTTTTCTTTTCCTAACAGCATTTGATGTCTCTGTACAAACTGAACATTGTCAACTTTTATGACAAATCACCCGCTGTCATTCAGCATCTGTCTGGTCTGAGTTTGGCTCGGCACAAACCGGCTTTAAGGTCCTGGTGGTGTCAGCCAGCTCTGACTACAGAGCGACAATCAGCTCAGCACATCTGCATCAGGATTTCTCCCCATTTGGTTTCATGAAAAGCTAAAAAGGCCACGCTGACTCTCGTGTTTGACCATCACCAGTGTCCTGGAACAACCTTATCTTGAAAACTCAATAGCAATATGACAACGTTGAAGAAACCAGAGACTGCACAAAAGGCAATGAAACTCTGTTACTTTGCCAAAGTTTTAGTATTTTGTTCCTGACTAGCTGTCAGTGTGACAGAAGTATGAATACTCTTGGTACTGTCAATGAATAACGCAAGAGGTCACACGCCTCCCTGCGGAGATACATTTCATGTAAATGAGGCTCAGTAATTCACACACATTTTGCTTCCCATTAACCAAATTTTATCGGAATTTGGTTGCAATTCAGTCAGAGATCCAGAAGGGGGCGCTGGCAAGACTGTCTTTAGTGAAAAAGGGTGAATGGAGCTAAACAGCTAAGTTAATGACTTCCACCTGCTTCTATTCAAAAACATCTATATTACTTTTCATAAATCCAGCATCAACAGCATGTCTGAAATTAATCAAAACAACACTTATGTTCGGTTTTTCTCACAGTTAAGCCGGTTTTGCACATTAAACACTAGCATGCTGCTAATGGGTGCTGATTACTTAAGCAATTGGGATGGAACGTCCTCCCGCCATGGCAGCAGAAACCCCGTCAGAAGTTCCTATGTGGTGAAGTTGTGAATCTCTAATAATCACAGGAAGAGATTCTACTACAATAGAAATCTGTAAAAAAATATAAATAAATCGAACTCCACTCATTGTCTTGAGCCCTTCTACTGAAAAAAACATGCAAACTTCGGGAAGAAAAATTTTTCCTCGAAAATTTTACATTTTTGTTTTACTGCCCAGTTCACTCTGGATGAGCTCAACACCGCCCCCTATGGAGCTAGAAGACCACAGCGCTCTCTGTGGTGCTGGACGTTCAGCTGCCAAAATATATGAACTATTTACAGCTTCAGATTAATCCATAAACCATAAATAACATCTTTCATTTTTTTATCCTAGTTGTTCAATGATTATACATTTCGGGTTTATCCAGGACACTGAAATTTTATCTCCAAATGAAGCATTTCATTTCAGTGTGAGGAGATAAATTGGTGAATTCTGACTCCTACGCGGAGAATTTATAGCTTTAGTTTTTACTGAAAATATCAAACAATTCAAAATGAACCTTCTGTGGTGAAATAGGTGTGCCCATTTTTCTAGGTGCAGATTTTATATTCAGCACATTGAAGACTTTGCTGATGTCATTTTTTTTCCCCCAATGATTGAAAAATCAACTCTTCAAAACCAAAACACTGCTTCATTTATTTATTTATTTATTTATTCATCTACTTTTTTGGGAAGATTTTCAGGTCAGTTGCTTTATTTTTATTTATCTTTTTTATGATAATTATTTTTGCATTTTGGCTGGAGGAGGAGAGGAGGTCGAGCGAGACGGCTCTTTATCTATTTTGCACAGAGAAACAAAAAAAAAAAACCTAACAAAACAAACACAAACCGCGTCAAGCAATAACGGTTTGCAGATACCTTTTAACTGACTTCTTGAGTAACGCTTGACTTCACAGATGCTTTTTCTCACTGTATGTGTCTGTGGATTAAAGGGAAAAATCCCACACTAACACTTTGAGCATTTGGTGGAATCTGATTAGCCGGATGCAGCACTGATGGCGTTACTGTGGACTTACAGACACACGGGTCCATACAGTGGCACAAAGCCGACGTGAAGCAGCGTTACCGCTTGTTTTTATTAAGACGAAGTGTCAAAGTGTGCGTGTACAGCATTTGTTCAGTCTGCTTCAATATTTCAAACAACCTCTCTCTCTGTCTCTGTCGTTGTGGTCACCCGAGGGATCTTTACTAAACGCTTTCCTAGACTAATTTTAAAAAGGAAAAAAAGTAGAAAAAAATTTTACTGGCACCGTCTGGACTCTATTTCTACTAGATTCTATTGAGAATAGATAACGATATAAACTAGGTAAATACTAATACACTGCTGAACTGTGCTGCGAGGCGTATTTAATAATAATAATAATATTTCAGGTTGCAGTTGTGCTGAAGGGCTGTTTTCAGTAGCAATAGACCCAGAGTGTGCCTGCTACACATGAACCCCATCACTCCAAGCCATGCTTTACCATTGGTTGATTGATAATATGCTTGACTGATTGATGAGCCAGTTGATTTTTCTGATTGGTTTCATGTTTGGTTGGTTGATGAATTGATTCTTATGGTTTTTGATCATTAACACAGTCTCCACAGTCCCCTCCCCTCCATCACTGCTGTGACTCTTCCTCATAACTTATCGAACAAATAGCACAGAGAGCTAACAGGCTGACGTCACTTTTAACTGTCAAAAAGGTCCAGATTCACTAATGTCTGCAGGGAAAAGCGTGCAGTGTTGTCAGCAGAGCACATGCTGGTATGTAATTCCATACTGAGATGTTAAAATGGAGACAGCTGAATAAGAAAACATCCAGCTGTTTAATTCCCATAAACTGCATATAAAAGATGAACATGAACTCCCTTACTGGCTTGCCAAGTCTCATTTTTCAAGTTTCAAGCAGGAAGGCTTGTCCATCTTAAGTTTTTGAAATGTCTTGAGGCAGGCAAGCAGGATTAGGCCCTCACTAACCTGTATGCTGATCTGACTGTTTCACTCTAATAGGGCCACAGTTTTCTAAATGTTGTGTTCAATAAGCGAGTGAGAGAAATAAATTCATCAGGAAACTTTTAAGCAGTTTAAGTTGCCGCACCCTGTGATTGCTTTGGTTGCTCATATTTTGCATGAAATACGTCCACTAACACTTGCCAACTACTCACAAGCAGTAATGAAACCAAGACTGTGGGAACTTGTGGCCATCTTGGTAAATGGCCTGTATTTGTATAGCGCTTTACTAGTCCCTAAGGACCTCAAAGTGCTTTACACAATCAGTCATCCACCCATCCACACACACATTGGTGATGGCAGCTACATTGTAGCCACAGCCACCCTGGGGCGCACTGACAGAGGCGAGGCTGCTGGACACTGGCACCACCGGGCCCTCTGACCACCACCAGTAGGCAACGGGTGAAGTGTCTTGCCCAAGCACACAACAACCGAGACTGTCCAAGCTGGGGCTCGAACAGGCAACCTTCCGATTACAAGGCGACCTCCCAACTCTTGAGCCACGATCGCCCTGCAATCTTCTAGCAACCAAAGCAATTGCAGTAAAGTTTTTAGTCCAACAGCGTATACCTCTTTGAAATTGAGTTCACCTGGAGATGTTGGGTGAACTCAGTGCAAAAGAATGCAAATTTTCCTGTAGCAACCTGGCTGGTCTCCAAGCCTGACGTCTTAGGTCTCTGACAGCAAAAATCTGGTTTTCTAACAGGACTATCAATTATAAAATGAAGATCATGTTTTAATCTGTAAGACTTGAAACTAGCGGCTGTGATCATAAAGGATAAGTAAACCGTTTACTGAGCTTATAGATCAAATTTCCAGTAGACTTGTGCACTCACTACCAAATTTGGAACAAAGACAGCTTCACTAGAACTTTAAAAGAGGACGGTGATTTTCTTAGAGCTGGCTTGAACCCTTTCAGAGGACCAGAAAGAAAAACGGACTTTCTTCAGAGTGTTTCCAGGTCAGTAAAGATATCAGCAAAAGAACAGTCATCAAATTAAAGGCTCAGTTATTGGCATTAGTCTACTTAGATTTCAAACAGAGATCTGCTCATGAAGTCTTGAATCCCATTTTCAAAGATTGTTTAAATCCTTCCAAAATTACCTAAAGCTATCAACACAATGCATGTAAAACATCAATACTGTGCTCGAGAGATATCAGACGAAGTTGAGCTGTCTTTGTAGTGAGACAGTGCAGCCTTTATTTAACCAGGTGAGTCACTCAAAGCATATTCGTATTTACAAGGACAGCCAGGGAATGGCAAAGCCTCAAGAGTTTACAAGAAACATACTCTAGTTGTTGCCCCTGATCATGGATGTTTCAGTTCAAGTTTACAAAGGTAATTAGAAATAGTTTATTTAGGATTTAGGATTCATCAGTAAAACAGGAGGCCCAGCTTTGAGACAAATCCGTTTTTATGCTTTGAGAAGCTTCTTGAAAGCTCAAACCTCCGGGGTTTGCTACTGGAGGCATCCTGTTAACAGCGTTGTAGTTTGTGCCAGTCTACAGCTCCAGGGTGATATTACTTGGTGGGTACTGCTTGGCAACCTCATCCTGACATATCCAGCTCTCTCAAACTGATATTCAGTATTTGCTGCAGTGGAAAAAAGAAAACTGCACAAGCTTTTGTCAGAGTGTTGCTTCAGTGAATCTGGACCTCAGACTTTGGTTTGCACTGAGCACAAAAACACATTCAAACACTTACTGCAATCACTGGGACAGTTGGCTGCTCAGAAGTTTGTTCACCTGAAACAAACAATGAAGCAATTACAGCAGCAAAACAAAGAGCAGCTTTGTCCCTGAACAGTCTGTACAAGGGAAAGTAACAAAGCCTTCTAAATAACCTCCAAAATGTTTGAGCACTCGGAATGAAAAACAGAACAAAAATCTGTCTGCTTTATGATTTTTCCTGCTCTGATATGATAAACTGTTCAAAGTCTGAGCAAATTAAACACCATCTTTGCTCCAAGCTGTGGGTCAGACCATGTGGTGCTACTGAGGGGTTTGGAAGAGTCCATTTTATGAAGGGAGGGGGGTGTTTAAAACACAAACTGAGAATCTCTGCTCCTTTTTGCCTTCTTCCCCTGTTTGAAAACCAAAAGCTGCTTCATCATCCTCGAAACAAAACGACAAACACCCACACGGAGGAAATGCACAGAAAACCAGAGGTTTCATTGTTCTCTATTATTGCTATTCTTACTATTAACTGTGTGATAAATGCAATACAACAGTTGTGTAAACAGGCAGTGAGTGATGTTGTATCTTATTTACAGTATGAGGATAATAAAAATGATGCTTTTGTTTTTTTTTTATTATTATTATTTTTCCCGCCGTCATGGGTTTGGTTTTTCCAGGCATCTTCTCACTGCTTAAACCACAGTCGTCCCATTTACACCGTCACTGGTTTCACAGCGGGTGGCGAACTGGTTTGCAGATTTCCAGTGTCATATCAGTCCCAAAGAAACCTCATATCTTGAGAAAGTTGCCTTTTTCTTAGGAAAGGGGGGGAGTTTGAATATTTCCCTTTCTGACACCTCTCGAATCCTCTTTTATTCCACACGAGAAAAACAGGAATATTTCTCTTATTGTCACCTTTGGGATAAAATGAGGCCACAAATAGTAGAAGTTGGAAAATATGCTTCACTAAGTTGACGATAAGAGGTTTCATGATACAAGTAGTTTTAGTGCTTTCGCTGGAAAACATTAAACTTTATAGCTGGAGGGTTAAAACCTTGTAACTCCTGAAATTTAAGGCTTGAATATATACGGAAATTAAGAAATAGCAATGTAATGAGCACAACTTTTAAAGTCCAAATTGGAACAGTGTCCATCACAGTTGTGTCATTTTCTAAAAACACAAAACTCAAAAACATAATAAGTTACAACGTTTTCCTCTGACTTCAGTGGTACTCGCCGGTGAAACCTCGGTGTAAAGGAGGCGAAAGCCGTGCCTCAGTGACCCCACCCTGGTGTTTTAGAGACAATAATATTTACAATTATAATTATAATATGAATATATATAAATATATATATACTTTTTAGTACTTTGAGTTGAAATACTTTTTAGTATTTTGCAAATACATGTCTCTGTATATAAAAGAAAAGCCTCCTGTAATAAACAAGAAAAAATTTAATACTGAATCTGTTGTGGTGGTTTTATGTTGTGTGCTGTGTGAAAAATGGATATATGTGTGATCCAGGTCCACCACCAGGGGACTAGTGACCCATCTATAGGTAGGTGTACGATTTGGCAGCAAAGGGTCAGCCTACTTCCTGGTGGGTAGGCCACGCCCTCTAATGGCCACGAGCTGTGAGTAACGACGGAAACGGTGAGTTTATGGATGCCAGCAGAGTAAATGAGCTTCCTCTGGTGCTTGCTGGTGTCTGGACACAGCCTTAATGATAGGATGAGGAGCTTGTATATTCAGGAGGTGCTCAGAGTAGAGCTGCCGCTCCTCCACCTCACACAGAGCTGGTGGAGGGGGTTCAGCATCTAACCAAGGTGCCTCCTGGACGCTTCCTAGGTGAGGTGTTTTTGGGAAGCCATACTGGAAGGAGACCCCAGGGTAGACCAAGGACACGCTGGAGAGATCAGGAAATCACATGATAGGGTGGGGCTAGGTTTCACAATGAGCTCACTCGAAACCCTGGCTGATTGTGACCCACGCCTGTTTTCACACCTCGGCTCATGTGATTAGGTAGAGAATCTTCAGGGGGTCCTTTTGTCCCTCTTTGGGGGGAAACTCCCACGGGGTTTAAATCTGGGACTCTCCACCATTTGACCTTAGAACTGAAGAAGCTTCTCGGATGAGAGGTGAAACGTCTTCAAGCAACCCAAAGAAGTCCAGACGCTTTTCTTTCCAAGCTCCTTAGACTACGAGGACCTGGATGACTGAGAATCTTCACAGACCTTGGACCTGGAACTACTAAATCTTTAACAACAGCTGCTTTCACTAAAACACAGAAAGCAGAGAAGACTTCAGAGCTGACTCAGTCTATACACAGACTATCAGCACGATAAAAATAAGAAGAAAAGAACAGCTTAAACTGGTAGAATACATATTACTGCAGAAGCAGGAAGACACAATGAAAGCCTGTGTTTCGGTCTTATCCTTAAACTAACCAATATAATGTCTTTAGAGTACCTTATATTACTACCAAACACACCTGTCACAGCTGTCGAAGTCTCTGTAGTTGTGGGGTCCTGCAGAAGTTACCACATTTAATGTCAGACACATTAACAGTGTTCATTAAGTATTGGAAGTACTTGCATTACGTGTGCACTGTGGTCACGCCAGCATCGAATCCATCCAAGTTACATGTTTATTAAAATAATCATATTACAGCATTTATGTTAGACTACTTTTAATTAACTGCTTCAGCCCACTTACAATGAAAATAAATCTTGTTCATGACCTGTAGCATGTTAACACTGTTGGAAGTAAAAAATAACTCCAATTTTGAAAACACAACTTTCTTTTTTTTTTTTATAAAGCTCTGACTGTATTATGAGTCTGTGGTCTGGGAGAGAGTCTGTAACAGGATATAATGACCAACGTTGGGCAATTAATTATATAGTTACTTCTTCAAAAAAGTAACTGAGTTATGCAAACAAAGTTTTTTGCAGCTGTTTACCTAAAAATGCAGCCAAGGTGTTTTTAAAATAAACATTTCAAACTATTTACAGAACAATCAGCTGTTCTGCATCAAATCTGATGCCACACAAATTATTTGTGTCACTCCAAAAATAATTTCTGTCCACTATGAGATGAAGGAGAACAACAGCCTGATACCTGCAGGCCTGACAGCAGCAGATGTGTCACTGCTGTAACACCTGTAACACTCAGCAGTCGCCTCATTGTTCTGACACACAACAACACTACTGACTACACTACACACTAACTACACACTAACTACACACTAACTACACACTAACTACACACTAACTACACACTAACTACACACTAACTACACGTCGCAAATCCCTCACATCTCAAAACATGCCGTCACTCCTAAAACTTCCCCCTTCCTAAACAACTAAATGCCACGTTGCCATATCATTTTTTGATTGGTCGACATGGTACATTTTTTGCGCATTTGCGCACACGCACACGCACACGCACACGCACAGCTTAGAGGGAACATTGGTGGGGACTGAGTTGCTTTTGGAGCTAGCCCTGAAGAGGACACCAGGGAGCTTCATGTTTCAGCCCTGGAGGCTGATGCTGAGTGGAGGAGGCATTACCAA